TTTTGAGGGGTGTTGCTAAACAATGTGTGTGTTTGTTTTTTAACAGAGTGGACAGTGAGAGAAAGCGACAGAGAAAAAGGTCTTCCTTTTGCCGTTGGTTCACCCTCCAATGGCCGCCATGGCTGGCGCGCTGCGGCCGGCGCACCGCGCTGATCCGATGGCAGGAGCCAGGTGCTTCTCCTGGTCTCCCATGGGGTGCAGGGCCCAAGCACTTGGGCCATCCTCCACTGCCTTCCCGGGTCACAGCAGAGAGCTGGCCTGGAAGAGGGGCAACCGGGACAGAATCCGGCGCCCCGACTGGGACTAGAACCCGGTGTGCCAGCGCCGCTAGGTGGAGGATTAGCCTATTGAGCCGCGGCGCTGGCCAACAATGTGTTTTTTAAACACGGGCTTTCCTTGCTGAGTATCTGATTCTTGAGCTAATATCTCTTTGATTTTGTTTTTAAGATTTATTTGAAAGTTTCTCATCTGCTAGTTCACACCACAAATGCCCACAACAGCCAGGGTGAGGCCAAGCCAAAACCAGGAGCAGCTGGTCTCCTATATGGGTGGCAGGAACACAGGTATTGAGCCATCATCTGCTCCTGCCCAGGCACATTAGGAAGCATAGAATAGCTGGAACTCAAACCAGGCCTTCTGATCCGGGATGTGGGCTTTCCAAGTGGTGGCTGTGGGTGCTGTGCCACAGTGCCCACTAGTTTTCTTTGATTATTGTACTTCATTCCTTTCTTTTTTGAATCCATAAATCCTTCTGAAGATTCTTCAAAACTGTTCCATAATAGTTCATTTAAGGACAGAGTATATGTTCTGATGTGAGAAGACAGAATCGTGTAAGCACAAAATGTCATTCCAGAAATATTTTTTAAACATGGAATTTTAATTGTGTTTTTTTTTTTTTATATATATTGCTATTTATAAACATGAATTTAGTCTTTGGGAAACTTCCTGGAAAGTTAGGAGCCTCTGAAGGTAGGGTTTTAAGGATTGGGGATAATCTCTTGGGTTTGAACTAACCCTGTTCTTTAGATCCCTCGTAGATTGTGTTGAATTAATCACTGACAGTTTTCAGATTGCTACTTGTTTTTTAACTTTTTTTAAAAGATGTATTTATTTATTTGAGAGGGAGAGTTAGACATAGAATCTTCCATCTCCTGGTTCACTCCCCAAATGGCTGCGACACCCGGAGCTGGGCTGATCCAAAGCCTGGAGCGCGGGAGGGGGGCCCTCCAGGTGCAGAGTGCCCAAGAGGGCAGGGGCCCAAGCACTTGGGCCGTCTTCCACTGCTTTCTCAGGCCATAGTAGAGAGCTGGATATGAAGTGGAGCAGCCACCTACTACACCACAGTGCAGGCCTAGATTGCTACTTTTCATATCCTTTGTGCTTCTCTTGGTTTTAAATTAAATATACTAAAATGTATTTAAGTAACACCCAGGAGTTGTATTTGCAAATTTCAGCTTAAATTATAAAACCCCCCAAATTTAACTATAATTTTTTATAAAAGGTGTTGCCTTTACTGAGGATTTAAAAAAATTTATTTATTTGAAATGTAGAGTTAGAGGAGAGACATTAGCAGGGAACTGGAGCAGCTGGGACTTGAACCCATGCTCACATGGGATGCTAGCATCCCAGGCAGCAGCTTAACCCACTGTGCCAAAATGCCAGCTCCCATGACTCATTGTTGGAATTATAGAATGCATTTTCTAGAGTTGAGTTCATGTGTGTACTCTGTAGCTTATCTCAGGCTATGTGGCATTCATTACAGTTTCTGAATTAAGGAACGATAGGGACAAAATGGGAAGGTTGATGGAAGCAACCTATATTTTATGAACATCAAGATGCATATTTGTCATCTTTGATCAGCAGATTACATGTTCTATTCAAGCTCCATTTAATTAAAGCAGGTCAGAGATCATGAACATTTAACAGCATAAATAAAAGGCAATGATCTTTTTTGTTCTTAAAGCTTTAGGTATTTGAGAGAAGAGCCAATAAGAGCCAGCGAGCCTCCATCTGCTAGTTTGCTCCCCAAAAGGCCACAGCTGGGCCAGGTCAAAGCCAGGAGCCAGGAACCAAGTTCTTGAGCCATTTTCTGTTGCCTTCCCAGGCACATTAACAAGGAGCTGGATAGGAAGTGGAGCAGCTGGGAGTCAAACCAGCACTACAATATGGGATGCTAGGCGTCCTAATTGGCAGGATAGCCCAGTGTGCCACAATGCTGGACTTGAAAATGACTTTAAGATTATTTAAAGGCAGAGTTGCAGAGACAGAGAGGTCTTCCATCTACTGGTTCACTCTCCAGATGGCTGCAACAGCTGGAGCTGCGCCGATCCAAAGCCAGGAGCCAGGAGTTTTTTCCGGGTCTCCCATGTGGGTACAGGGGCCCAAGCACCTGGGCCATCTTCCACTCCTTTTCCAGGTTATAGCAGAGAGCTGGATTAGAAGTGGAGCAGCTGGGACTTGAACCCGAGCCCATGTAGGACATTCTTAATAGTGATGTATCATCCACATGGTGATGATGCCTGCCCCATAAATTTAAAATTCCATGTTTTCTCACAAATTTTTTGAAGTACTCTCATGTATTTAAGATGCCATCAAAAGTTTCAAAGCAGGAGATGAAAGAAGATGGGACTTTAGGGGCAGGCAGTATAGCACAGCTGATTAAGCCAGTTTCCCTTATCTGAGTGCTAGTTTGAGTCCTGGCTACTCTGCTTCTGACTGAGCACCCTGCTTATGTGTCCTGGGCGGCAGCAGATGATGGCTCCACTTGGATGGAGTTCCTGGTCCCTGGCTTTGACCTGGCCCAATTCTGGCTGTTTCCAGCATTTGAGAAGTAAACCAGTAGATGGAAGATCTGTTACTCTGTCTTCAAGTAGAAGAAAATAAACATTAAAAAAGAAAAAAGAAGAAAAGAAAAAGATCTATTTTATAAAGGTGATTCTGACAGAAACGTGGAGGAAGAATCAGAGGTAGTAGTAGAGGTGGTATCAGCCGATCAGTTAACAGGCTCTCGCATGTGATACGTTTTCACACAGACCACAGACCATCATTGCCCCGTGTCATTTCTCCTTAGAAGGAACCGTGACTGGGAGAGGCCGCCTGCAGGCCTGTGGCAGGAAAGGTGCAGGAGGCGGCTAGAGTATCTTGTCATGTCGGAAGAGGGGAGCCATCAGAGGCTTCCGGGGCCAGGTCCAGAGGATTCTGAAGACAGTGGCAGCTAAGGACGGGGCAACTTGAGTGTCACAGTAATGACTGCAGGGTGGGCGTTTGGTGCAATGGTTAACTGACCACTTGGGACACTAGCGCTGGTTTCAAGTCCAGGCTACACTTCTTGTAGCCTGCTAACGTGTGCCATGCATGGGAAGTAGCAGGTGACAGCTCAAGTCCTTGGGCCCGAACCCACATGGGAGATCTGACTGGAGTTCCAGCCTCCTGGTTTCAGCCTGGCCTACTCCTGGTTGTGGCAGGCACTTGGGGAGTGAACCAGCAGATGGAAGATTGTTGTCTCTGCATTTCAGAGAATAGGACAATAAAAAATATTTTAAAAATAAGAATTTTAAACATAGCTGCAATGAATTAAAATGTATCAAATATATTTAAGTGCCTAAGTTCATAATAATAGTAAACAAAAAAAGCCTAATTCATCTCATTTTTTAAGGCTAACTCTCCTCTACAAAGTTACACCTCAGAGTAACTCAAACAGTTGACTTTGTTTTTTTAAGATTTATTTATTTGAAATGCAGAGTTACAGAGAGGCAAAGGTGGAGAAAGGGAGAGCTTCCATCCACTGGTTCACTCCCGAAATGGCTGTAATGGCCAGGGCTGCGCCAGGCTGAAGCTAGGAGCCAGGAGCTTCTTCCAGGTCTCCCATGGGTGTGCTGGGGCCCAAGAACTTGGGCCATCTTCTACTGCTTTCTCAGGCCATAGTAGAGAGCTGGATCAGAAGTGGAGCAGCCCCTCAGACTGGCACACATATGGGATGCCGGCACTGCAGGTGGCGGCCTAACCCACTATGCCACAATGTGGGCCTCACAGTTGATTTTTTTCTTAAAAATATTCCAGTCAACAATAAAGAAGGAATTACAGCATTAGAATATTGTAGTTTTTCAACCCTAGTGCTATAATGGGTCCAGGCAATGGCCATACAGGCCTGCTAAACTGAAGAGAAACCACCAGACATCCATCCCTTCTGAAGGAAGTTCCCATCAGTACCTGTGAAATGGCTCTTGTACTAAATGCCTGCTCCAAAAACTTCAACAATAGTTCACTCCCCAAATGCTCTAAGGAGCCAGGGCTGGGCCACACCAAAGCCAGTCCATCTGGGTCTCTCATGTAGATAGAGGAGCTCGACTACTTGAGCTACCACCTGCTTCCTAGGTGCATTAGCAGGAAACTGAATCAGAAGGGCAAAGCAGCCAGGATCCAACCGGCACTCCAATATGGGAGCCCATGAAGCAACACCCACCCTTGGGAGATTGTTTGAATTTAAAGTCCTGTTTAATAGCATTTCAGCCATTATGCTAGGATTAAGCTAAGAAAACTGGAATGCAGGTATTTCTTTAGAAAACTGGTGGTCATAAGCCAAGAATTCTGGGTTGCTTCCATCACTCCTCCAGGAGGGATTTCTAAAAAGCTTATCGCAGGGCCAGCACTGTGCTGAGGTAGGCTAAGCCTCCACCTGCAGTGCTGGCATCCCATATGGACGCCAGTGTGTTTCTGCCCCAGCTGCTCCACTTCTGATCCAGTTCTCTGCTTATGGCCTGGGAAAGCAGTGGAGGATGGCACCCTGAACCTGTTTGAGAGACCCGAAAGAAGCTCCTGGCTCCTGGTTTCGGATTGGCCCAGCTCTAGCCATTGCGGCCATCTGGGGAGTGAACCAGCGAATGGAAGACCTCTCTCTCTCTCTCAAATCAATCAATCAATCTTTAAAAAAAAAAAAAAATACGTGGCCATTTCATTAACAGAATTATACTCCTGGAGTGGGAGTAATTTCAATGACACACTTTCTTTTTTTTTTTTCAATGACACACTTTCTGAGGAAATATTCACCCTGCACAATCTAACACTCGAAAGGTAAAATGGTGAACACACAATCTATTTTAGGACTAAATATCGACTACTGGAGAGCATTCTCTTACTTGAAAAGGTTGGGCCTTTTAAATTTTCTAGGAACCTTCTGAAATGCTTAATTTGTAATTGGTTTCATAGCTTATAAAAAAATGTAGGTTCAGGATAGTGTTTTGAATTACATATACTTAAAATCACATAGTACTTAAAAAATAAGTAACCGATAATCCACTTAGCATCTGTCTACTTCCACAAGCTGCCATTCTTTCTTTTCACAAGTTCAGAGTAATGGCGTATCCTTAGACTAAAAAAAATTCAACAAAGAGCAATTATGGGACCGTTTTCCCAAAATAGAATAAAAACATCCTTACACCACGCTTTGTAAAACACTACTGTTGGGCCTAACAGTCTCTGCACATTTACTTTTTGGTCATCACTTCTTTACATGGTTTCCTTAAATAAAAGTAGTAGTATTTGTCAATTATTCACAATACTTTAACTTTAGAGAAGTGGAGTCAACCTGAACTATCTAACACTTCTACCCAGTACTGTCATATTTCAGAAAATGTATTTGACTCAATTACTTTGTATTTAATTTTATGAACATCTTAAAGGTACATATGATCAATTTTCCAGGACCTGGCAGAGTACAGTTACTGCTGTGGTACTGAATACTCTGTTTTTATCAAGGGACTACTTTTACACACTAAAGTGCATACCATCGATTTTATACTTGGAAATGTCTTCTAATCAATTTTATGTCTAAATAAAAAAATGAAAAGTGAAGTCAACATTTGCCTGCCTACTCTGTACTTGGCACTCTGGGGTATCTTCTTAAACTCTTCAACTCTCTGGGACAGATAAAGCCACATTTTACAGGCAAAGATGCTAGATAATTTGGACAAGGTTGCGTAGCCAGTGAATAGGGGTATGGAAGTACCCAAGTCCAAGTCCTTGGATCTGCCTCTCACATGGGAGACCCGGACTGAGTTCCAGGCTCCTGGCTTCAGCCTGGCTCAGTCCTGGCCATTGCAGCCATTTGGGGGGTGAATCAGCAATGGTAGCTTGCTCACTGGCTCTGTCCTCCTCTAACTCTGCCTTTCAAATACTTTAAAAATAAAAGCAGTAGGCCGGCGCCGCGGCTCACTAGGCTAATCCTCCGCCTAGCGGCGCCGGCACACCGGGTTCTAGTCCCGGTCGGGGCGCCGGATTCTGTCCCGGTTGCTCCTCTTCCAGGCCAGCTCTCTGCTGTGGCCAGGGAGTGCAGTGGAGGATGGCCCAGGTGCTTGGGCCCTGCACCCCATGGGAGACCAGGAAAAGCACCTGGCTCCTGGCTCCTGCCATCGGATCAGCGCGGTGCGCCGGCCACAGCGCGCCGGCCACAGCGCGCCGGCCGCGGCGGCCATTGGAGGGTGAACCAACGGCAAAAAGGAAGACCTTTCTCTCTGTCTCTCTCTCTCACTGTCCACTCTGCCTGTCAAAAAATAAAAAAATAAAAAAAAAAAAAAGCAGTAACTCTTAACTGTAATGAACAGTGTATCTGATAATAGCTGTATTTCCAGGAGACATTATATAAAGTCTTGAGTTTAGCTAATTTATGTTTAAAAGCAAATTAACCCAGTAGTGTAAGATTACATCGTGGCTCCAAGCAGCTGCAAAATACTAGCTGTTAAACAGAAATTGGACACTAGCCATCAGGATATCAAGAAAACAAGCTGATGTAGTGGGTTATGTTTCACTGTAGTTTACCCTCCATGACCCTGAACGGGGCATGGGGTGGGCGGTAGTTTCCCCGCACTAAACTTGCGAAGTATCTAAACATCCGGAAGCAAAGAGCTGGATTGGAAGAGGAGCAGCCAGGAATCAAACCAGCACCCATGTGGGATGCCAGCATCACAGGTGGTACTTTTACCTTCTATGACACAATGCTGGCCCAACATATTCTTTTTAAAGGAATTGGTCACAGGTGTCTAAAATTAAAACATTTGCTTTATTTGTTAACAGTCTTGCCCTCTCTCTTTTAAATAGTTCAAGAACAAATCCAATGACAAAAGCGAACCCCAGAATGAAGATACTTCCAAAAGACAGTTTCCAGGATACCCAGAGAATCAATCTTCACCTAGAGTCACTTTTTCACCCAGAAATTCCCACATAGGATGTGGGTATTTTAAGCTGGTGGGTTTTTAAAATTTTACTTATTTTGAAAGTCAGAGTTACAGACGGAGAGAGATCTTCCATCCACTGGTTCACTACCTAGATGGCCACAACAGCCAAGGCTGGGACAGGCTGGGATAGGCCAGGAGCTTCATCTAAGTCTCTCACTTGTGTGCAGGAGCCCAAGGACTTGGGCCATCCTCCTCTGCTTTTCCAGGGACATTAGCAGGGAGCTAGACCAGAAGTGGAGCAACCAGGTCTCCAACTGGCACCCATATGGGAGGCTGGCATCACAGGCAGAGGCTTTACCTGCTGCATCACAGTGCGGCCCCCTCAAGTCATTTTTAACTGGAGCCAATAGGCATTTCTATTCCTAATTCAGGTGTCCCTTTCAACTTCTTAGTTTAGCATCTATGAAAGACTTCCTAAACAATACCACACAACACTCACGGAGAGGCCTCTCAAAGTTAACGTCTGTGTGCCCTTGTTACTTAACTTCTCTGCAACCATTCCTTGACTGTAATGGTCTTTTTAAGACTGTTGCAACGAATAAATAGGTAACTTAAAACTTAGCAGTGCCAATCACACTGTAAAGTCTCAAGAGTTTGAGCTATAGTAATTCCAGTTTTTCTAAGATTTATTTATTTTTTTTGAAAGAGTACAGAGATGGAGAGGCAGAGAGAGAGAGATGTCTTCCATCTGCTGGAAAGAGTAGAGAGGGAGAGGCAGAAATATCTTCCATCCGCTGGTTCACCCCCCAGATGGCCATAGTGGCCAGCGCTATACCAGGCCAAAGCCAGGAGCCCTGAGCTTCCTCTGGGTCTCCCACATGGTTGAAGGGCCCCAAGCACTTGGGCCATCTGCTGCTGCTTTCCCAGATGCATTAGCAGGGAGCTGGATAGGTAGTGGAGCAGCCGGGACCCAACCAAGGATGCCAGTGCTGCAGGGGGTGGCTTAATCCCCTATGCCGCAGCACGAGCCCCCAGCTTTTCCATCAAACCAAAAAGTATCCCCTCTTCAACAGCCTAGAGATTAAACAGAAAAAACAAATCACGAGGCCAGCGCTGTAGTGCAGCGGGTTAATGCCCTGGCTTGAAGCGCCGGCATCCAATATGGTTGCCGGTTTGAGACCAGGCTGCTCCACTTCCAATCCAGCTCTCTGCTACGGCCTGGGAAAGCAGAAGATGGCCCAAATCCTTGGGCCCCTGCACCCACACTGGAGACCAGGAAGAAGCTCCTGGCTCCTGGCTTCGGATTGGCACAGCTCTGGCTGTTGCGGCCAATTGGGGAGTAAACCAGTGAATGGAAGATCTCTCTCTCTCTCTCTCTCTCTGTAACTCTTTCAAATAAATAAATAAATAAATCTTTAAAAAATAAAAACCAAATCAGAGGTAAATGAAAGGATTAAATCTATTCAGGAATATTGCTTTACCTTTTTACCAAGATAATTTGTGATATTATAATCATTTTCTAGTTGTTATTTAAAATAACTGCATTTATGTGTGTGAACTCATTTAGAAAATATTAACAATTACTATTAATATCTTATTTTTCAGACTCCCGTTTAAATTTTCCATAGTGCCACATAATTGTATAACTAAATTTTATTATAGCTGAACACTTCCAAGAGTTGTAATTCTGAAATAAATTTTGGCATGATTAAATAGAGAAAATCTTTTCATAAAGTACAATATACATGAATTTAGGGTACTTGTCCAAATATTACCAGCATACAAATTATTCTGTAAAGTTGTTTCTTACATATAGGATCTAAAATGCAAAGAAAAATGGGATTTGTATTCAAAACAAACAGAAGCAACGCTGGCTCCTGTATACTAAAATATAAGACAAGACACGTTTTTCTTAAGCACTCTAGATACAAACATTAACTATATGGACTGAGAACTTTCAAGTTTCAATAATATAATTCAACAAGGTATACAAGTAGAGCTCTATAAATATATCCCCCATAATAATCATATGTAAAATCATTTTATCACAAATACTACCAAAACCCTCTGAAAAATGTGAACTACAAACACATCTTAAAAGAAATTCTTAGTTATAACAACTACAAAACAGTAAATATCAACAGTTATTTGGTTTAAAAAAATGAAAGGTCGTGTCATGTAAAATTCAAATACTGTCAAGTTGGTTTTTGACCACGTAGTCTTGAATTTCATAATACAGGTACTAAATACTCTTTCAAAAATAATAAGACAGTTTATATAATTTAAAATCTTGAGCTGGAGCTCTAAGAAGAATGAATTAAATAGCAGATGAAAAGTAGGTATGTAGAAATAATGGTATAAAATATGATTTGTATACAAAATGTACCACTCTTCAAATGTATAAGACTTAATATAAATATTTTTACATTTTGATTTTTGTACTCCATAATCAAAATTCAGTATTTATAGACTGTTTTGATATTTCTGAAGTGAACTTGGTGCAGGATGGAATTTCCTGTTGCTATATCTAAATTGTTCTACCCCATAAAAATGTATCCTTGAACACAGGGGAAAATTTTATCTTTTGGATATTTGACCTCTATATAAATTTTACTTTTGGAGAAATTAGATTTTGTAATTTGAACTAATGTTCACCAGGAATTGGCCTAAGTTTAAATAGAAGATACAACAGAGAAATAGGTGTCAAATACTTTAAGTCCACCTTAGGTAATTATATAGTCATAATTACTTTTTACATGAATGTAAAGTGCTTTAAAGTAAAAAATAAAATCTAATTATTTTCTAAATTAGTTCCATTTTACCCACTTCCTTTGAAAAGTACCCTTCTGCTACAATGTAAACAAAAAATGGTATGTAAAATGTAACATCAGACACATCATAATTTGTGGTGTGGGCCCTTACATTGAAACCAAATCTTTATTAATCCAAAGCTAGAGGATTTTCTTTCTTCCACATGCCCAAAGTAACTAGTATCAATTCACATTTTCTGTAAGCCTTGAAGAATTTTTATTTAACATAATAAGAGGTTTAATAATTTATATTAAAGACTATGTAGTACTCCTTTGTTGCTGTTCACCAACTGTTTTTATGACGGTAACTCCGAGATCTGGAATGTGACCGGCAATGGGAATGCTTTGCGGTTTGTGCTTTAGTTTCAGAATTGGTGTACCCTTTGGGAGATTTACATGGGGATCTTGCTATGGAGTCAGAATGTCTTCCATGTGATCTTGATTTTGTTCCTGAGCTAGTTTGCTTTTGAGGTGAACTTGATTGTGATTTTCCTATTGACTTGGACCTTTTTTGTAAGGACTTGGACCTTGATCGTCCTCTGGAACCAGAATTTCTTCTTGGAGTTCTTGACTGCCTTGCTGAGGTAGACCGCCTTGGTAGTGATTTGGAACGAGACTTAGACTGGCTGTAAGAAAACCGCCGGTGTCGTGACCTGCAAACAGTCATAATGTTAAAGCACATTTTCCACACAGGACAACAGGTTAAGAAACACTCTCAGGAACTTAGACACTTTATGTAACAGTAGTTATGTTTTTACTACTGTTACTCTTTTATAACATATAAAAAAATTGATTCATTATGCATGCTTTTAGTTTAAACGTAAAGGAAAAGTTTGCGGCCGGCGCCGCGGCTCACTAGGCTAATCCTCCGCCTAGCGGCGCTGGCACACCGGGTTCTAGTCCCGGTCGGGGTGCTGGATTCTGTCCCGGTTGCCCCTCTTCCAGGCCAGCTCTCTGCTGTGGCCAGGGAGTGCAGTGGAGGACGGCCCAGGTGCTTGGGCCCTGCACCCCATGGGAGACCAGGAAAAGCACTTGGCTCCTGGCTCCTGCCATCGGATCAGCGCGGTGCGCTGGCCGCAGCGCGCCGGCCGCGGCGGCCATTGGAGGGTGAACCAACAGCAACTCTGTCTCTCTCTCTCACTGTCCACCCTGCCTGTCAAAAACAAAAACAAAAACAAAAACAAAAACAAAAACAAAAAAAACAAAAAAAAGGAAAAGTTTGCAATATTTTTTTTTTTTGACAGGCAGAGTGGACAGTGAGAGAGAGAGACAGAGAGAAAGGTCTTCCTTTGCCGTTGGTTCACCCTCCAATGGCCGCCACGGCCGGCGCGCTGCGGCCGGCGCACCACGCTGATCCGATGGCAGGAGCCAGGAGCCAGGTGCTTTTCCTGGTCTCCCATGGGGTGCAGGGCCCAAGCACTTGGGCCATCCTCCACTGCACTCCCTGGCCACAGCAGAGAGCTGGCCTGGAAGAGGGGCAACCGGGACAGAATCCGGCGCCCCGACCGGGACTAGAACCTGGTGTGCCGGCGCCGCTAGGCAGAGGATTAGCCTAGTGAGCTGCGGCGCCAGCCGAGTTTGCAATATTTGTTATACTAGAATATATGACCAAAAGACTTTTTTAAAGATTAAAGTGATTTCAACTTTTTTTTCTAAAAGGTAGAGAGAGAGGGAGAGGGAGAAAGTCCCCTCCCCAAATGCCTACAACAGGCGGAGGCTGAAGACTGAAGTCCAGAACTCAATCTGGTTCCCCCATATGGGTGTCAGGGACCTAATTTGTTTGTTTGTTTCTTTTTTTTTCTTTTTAAAGATTATTCATTTACCTGAAAGGCAGAGTTACAGAGAGGCAGAGGCAGAGACAGAGGTCTATACAGTGGTTCACTCCTTAAATGGCCGCAATGGCCAGAGCTGGGCAGATCTGAAGCCAGGAGCCAGCAGCTTCTTCAAATCTCCCACGGGGGAGCAGGGGCCCAAGGACCTGGGCCATCCTCCACTGCTATCCCAGCCATAGCAGAGAGCTGGACTGGAAGTGGAGCAGCCAGGACTCGAACTGGCGCCCATATGAGATGCCGGCACTGCAGGTAGTGGCTTTACCTGCTACGCCACAGCACTGGCCCTGGGACCCAATTTCTTGAGCCATCACCTACTGTCCCCAGAGTGCACATTAGCAGGAAGCTAGAACAGAGAATGGAACCAGGACTCAAACTTATGCACTCTAATAGGGGGTGTAGGTATCCCAAGTGATGGCTCCACTGTCAAATACCTGTGCTGACCAAAAGGGGTTTACATTACTGGATATCTAAAGGTCAATTCTGAAAAAGGTCCTGCATATTTAACCTTGGTTGCACAGCACTTAATGAGCTGCAAAATCCTGAATGGGGGAGGGAGTAAAATTTTTAAAAGGAGAGAGGAAAGAAATAAGGTACATCAAATAATGCTTGTAAAAACTAAAACCCAGACACAGGACTTCTGGGTCCTGCTTGATAAAGCAGATTGTATTAGACCAATCTCTCCACATAAGTATATGAAAAAGTTGTACATTTGTAAAATGACTGAAAGCACTGGAGAGTAACTAACACAAGCAGAACTTGAGGCATTACAAACCTTGGCTCTTTTACTAAGATTGCTTTTCAAAGGATAGCATGGGGCATTTGTGTACAAAAATGCTGTCTAAGCTGGAGAGACAGATGTTAGAATTCAGAGCTAACCAAATGGCTGGGACTTGAGAAGTCAAAATCCCAGAGACGAGGTAATTATACATATACAGACCAAAATAACTTTTTTTTTTTTTGACAGGCAGAATTAGACAGTGAGAGAGAGACAGACAGAGAGAAAGGTCTTCCTTTGCCATTGGTTCACCCTCCAATGGCCGCCGCGGCCGGCACGCTGCGGCCGACGCATCCCACTGATCCGAAGCCAGGAGCCAGGTGCTTCTCCTGGTCTCCCATGCGAGTGCAGGGCCCAAGCACTTGGGCCATCCTCCACTGCCTTCCCTGGCCACAGCAGAGAGCTGGCCTGGAAGAGGGGCAACCGGGACAGAATCCGGCGCCCCGACCGGGACTAGAACCCAGTGTGCTGGCGCCACAGGCGGAGGATTAGCCTAGTGAGCCACGGCGCCGGCCACAAAAGAACTCTTAAACTCTGCCTGCGAATCTGCCTGTGAATCTCCTTATGTCACTGGCCATCTTATGCACTGGATGCGACTCTAAGAGGTCAGCAAAAAACAGCAATTGGGAAATTCAAGAACAGAGCTGAAATGAGAGATACAGTGCTAGGTGGGGGGCTGTAGTTCAGGCCCCTAAAAGCTGATAAAGTTGAGGAAGCTTGGGCAACAATCTACGATTTCAACTGCTTGAATTTTCACCCAACAGCCAATGAAAAAGATTTGAAGTGTATGAAAAAATAGGCAAAAATTACTGAAGTAAAAATGCCTTAAAACTAAGGAAAATTAAAGACAAATGGATCCAAAGTGATTTGGAATTTGGCATTATCAGACAGAATTTTAAAAATTACTGAGTAATATGTTCCAAAAAATAGGAAAAAGACAAGGCAGATGAAAATATGGAGAATTTCAGTGGAAAACTGGAATCCATAGAAATAAACAAGTAGTTTTTTTTTTTTTTAAAGATTATTTGATTATCTGAGAGACAGAGAGACAGACAGACACAAGTATGTTCTGTTGGTTCACTCCCCAAATGGCAGCAACAGCCAGGGCTGGAACAGGAGCTTAATCTTGGGTCTCCCATGTGGGTGGCAGGGGCCCAAGTACTTGGACTATCTTCCACTGCTTTCTGTCACTGTGCCTTTCAAACAAGTAAACAAAAGCAGACAGGACTCAAACCACTCACTTGACAGGTAGCCTGAGTAGGGAGCTTAACCCACTGGGCCAAAACAACTGCCCCCAGAAGAGGAAGTTTGCATAAGATATATGTGTGGAATAATCACATAGCCAAGAGTAAATTTTCAATAAGGCAGAGCAATAACGAAGAGATAAAGGCCCAGACTTTTCCAAAACTAATGAAAGCTATTAACTTAACAATTTCAAATTCAATAAACCCCAGGTAAAATAAAAATAAAGAAAACTAGACTGGGCTCATTACAGTGAAACTGCTGAAAACCGAAAGTCAAAAATCTGAAAAGCTGCCAGAGAATAAAGGACAACTCACCTTCAAAGGATCAACAAGAAGACTGACGGATGACTGGACAGCAGAAAAACATCATTAAAAAGGAGCAGTACTCGGGGCTGGCACTGTGGTGTAGTGGGTAGGCCACCGCCTGCAGTGCCGGCATCCCTTATGGGTGCTGGTTCAAGTCCCAGCTGCTCCACTTCTGATCTAGCTCACTGCTACGGCCTGGGAAAGTAGTAGAAGATGGCCCAAGTTCTTGGGCCCCTGCACCCATATGGGAGACCTGGAAGAAGCACCTGGCTCCTGGCTTTGCTTTGGAGTGGCGCAGCTTCGGCTGCTGCGGCCAACTGGAGAGTGAACCAGTGGATGGAAGACCTAAGAATTATAAAAAAAAAAAAAAAAAAAAAAAAAAAGAGCAGTACTGGCATTGTGGCAAAGTGGGTTAAGCCACTAACTGAGACATCCCATTCAAGTCTTGGCTATTCTGCTTCTGATCTAACTCCTTGCTAATGCCCCTGGGAGGTAGCAGATAATGGCCAAAATACTTGAGTTTCTGCTACCCATGTGGGAGGCCCAGCCTGAGTCCCAGGCTCCTGGCTTCAGCCTGGCCCAGCCTTGGCTGTTGTAGGCATTCTGGGCTCCTCTCTGTCATTCTGCCTTTAAAAAAGATAAAGAAAAAGAAAAAAAGAAAGGAAGAAAAAAAATCTCTGCTATCCACAGAAAAATATCCTTCAAAAATGTATCACTGCTAACATGCCGGTACTTTTAAAAACATGGAAAATTCTTCAGAATGAAGGAGAGTGATCTAGAAGAGGAAGGGAGAACTCTGGAAGGTGTGCCTATATTGACACAGAATATTCCAGAGTAAGTGCACAGTCTTAGAAATTATTAAGTTTCATTCATTTTGTAGATAGAAAACAAAATGGAAAAACATTCTTAAACAAAAGGCTCTATTTGGACTAAAGAAAAGGCGGCTTGGGGCAATTTTGATTCTTCAGGAACATTAGAGTTGTAATATGTATATTAACTAATATAAAGTCAGCAAAGACTTAGGTAATAACCTAACATGAGCTAGGGACTACTGTTAAGTGCAGGGGATATAAATATGACTAAGAGAAAAGTCCTGTGGCTCAAAGAATTCATAGTAACAGCAGCAAACTAGTTTTCATTTCTACATCCAGGGAAGGCAAAATAAGAGACTTTCTTAGTCCAAGGTAACATCACATATATTATATGTACTTATAGTATACATTAGGCTTTATGTATACCCTGATGCACACATACATTGATCCTGTAAGAGATTTTACATCCTGAACAGAATTTTTAAATGAGAAAAACCAGACTCAGGGAGGTGAAGCAATGGTCTTATAAATGGTACAGAATAGAACATCACTATCTTGAAAGATACATTTCTTTCTTTCCCTGGTATTTCATGAAGACTTAGGACAACCAACAGACACCTTTTATTTTTTCTAGTAGAGTTTTGTACTTTACTTCTACCAAAAGACAGAAAATGATGCTAATATCTACTGTTATTAAATCAATTAAATCAGGAAAACTGAAACATTATGGTTCTAAGGCATTTGGAAACAGCTTAAATTCTTAATGAATCCAATAGATTACGTCTTTTACAAACTAATTTTCCACCAAGGCCACTGGATTATTTAGTAATTTAAGAGTTAGGTTTTGGGGCTGGCGCTGTGGCATAGCAGGTAAAGCCCCCGCCTGCAGTGCCGGCATCCCATATGGGCACCAGTTCAAGTCCTGGCTGCTCCACTTCTGATCCAGCTCTCTGCTATGGCTGGGATAGCAGTGGAAGATGGCCCAAGTCCTTGGGTCCCCGCACCCACATGGGAGACCTTAAGAAGCTGCTGGCTCCTGGCTTCGGATTAGTGCAGCTCCCTCCATTGCGGCCATCAGGGGATTGAACCAGCGAATTGGAAGACCTCTCTATCTCTCAGCCTCTGCCTCTCTGTAACTCTTCCTTTCAAATAAAATAATCTTTTTTTTAAAAAAGTTAGGTGCACTATTCTATTTTTATATACACACACACACACACACACATATATATATATATATATACCTTTTATGTAATCTTTCATTTGAAACAGTTTTTTTTTTTTTTTTGACAGGCAGAGTTAGACAGTGAGAGAGAGAGAGACAAAGAGAAAGTTCTTCCTTTCCATTGTTTCACTTCCCAAATGGCCCCTATGGCCAGCGTGCTGTGGCCAGCGTGCCGATCCGAAGCCAGGAGCCAGGTGCTTCTGCTGGTCTCCCATGCGGTTGCAGGGCCCAAGCACTTGGACCATCCTCCACTGCACTCCCGGGCCACAGCAGAGAGCTGGACTGGAAGAGGAGAAACTGGGACAGAATCCGGCGCCACAACCGGGATAGAACCTGGGGTGCTGGCGCCGCAGGCGGAGGATTAGCCAAGTGAGCCCTGGTGCCAGCCGAAAAACTATTCTTTCTATCTAGTTCCCTGCAAATGTTCCTGGAAAAGCAGCTGTGGATGGCCCAAGTGTTTGGTCCTTTGCCATCCACATGTGAAACCTAGATAGAGTCTCAGGCTCCTGGCTTCAGTGTGGCCCAGCCCTGGCCATTGCAGCCATTTTGAGAGTAAATCAGAGGATGAAAGATCTCCCTCCCTCCTCCTCTCTGTTGTTCTTTCAAATAAATAAATATTTTAAAATAAAAAAAATAACTAAAAACTCATTTCAATAGTGAATTTGATAGGTAATTAAAAAAATTTGGGGGGGGGGAGTGAAAGGGGGCCCAGAAGAGAGATTCCTCAACCACTGGTTCACTCCCCATATGCCTACAATGCCTAGGGCTGGGCCTGGGAACCTGGGAGTCAGGAATTCAATCCAGGTTTCCCATGTGGGTTGCAGGGACCTGATCACATGAACCATCACTGCTGCCTCCAAAGGTCTGTATTAGCAGAAAGATGGAGTCAGGAGCCAGAGCTGGGCATCAGACCCAAGCACTCCAATATGGGATATGGACGTCTCAACTGCTAGGCCAAATGCCTAGCCTTCTCACCGCGTTTTAAGTTCTATAAACATAATTTTGTCTTTGAGCATACAAACTATATATTATAGTCTAAACCTCAATCAGCCAGTGTCCCTTAGCCAAGGGACAAACCTGGATCTTCCTCCATAAAATGTAAGGAAGATTTATATTGTTACTATATAAGGACGATAAAAAGGATCAAGTTCCAAGACACGCTATAACTTTTTCTAAGTAGTTCTTCAGTAATCTTGCTGATGGCCCAATCTTGACTTGGGTTTTTTTGGCTTAGAAAAGGAGCTTAAAGCTTTGTCACTTTCATACCTACTCAAGGATGGGCCAAAAATCAAAGCATGTGGTTCACACAAAAGGAGAGTACTTATCTGACATATAAGATTTGAGAGCTCTGACTAGACTGTATTTTCTAGCAATCAGGATATATAAATAGTAAAAAGTCAAAGAACAAAAGATGCATTTTCTCTTCTTACCACCCTTCATTCCACTTGGCTGGAGGGATAGGAGTCAGGCTACTTCACAGTCTTGTTTTTAGAACTAAGGACTTCGGGCAATGACTCAGTCTCTTTAGTTCTGATTATGTTATTTTTTCTTGTTTAAGCTCTGGGAATTGAAAATGAAGAGACTGAAAGTTAATAGCCTGGGTGGCCAGCCTGATTTGAAGCTATGTGAGGTCTCGGACAGTCAACCTGGTCAGAGAGCAAGGACATGGTTGCAGACATGGGTGCTGTGGTGCAGTGAATTAAGCCTCTTTTGGACACCTGCATCCCTTATCAGAGTACAATTTGAGTCCCAGTTACTTGGCTTCTGATCCAGCTCCCTGCTAATATGCCTGGGAAAGCAGCAGATGATGGCTCAAGTACTTGAATTCCTGCCACCCACGTGGGAGACCCAGATGGAGTTCTTGGTTCCCGGCTTTAGACTGTTCCAGCACCAGCTATTGCAGCCATTTGGAGGTTGAGCCAGCAGATGGAAGATCTATCTATTTACCTTTAAATAAATAAATAAATAAATAAATACATCTGTTTTAAAAAGATACTGCTGCAAATGCTCATCACTAAGGGCAGAGTTCACCTTGGAACTGTACATGCCTATGAGAAAATTACAGATAAATTCTATACATGTTTAAGAATGCAGGCATGCCAATACAATTTCAGTTATTATTACAACCATTTTGCCATGTGAGTAATTTCCATTGTGGTTTATTCCAATTCTAATAGAAAAACTGGCTAGCAAAGTAGATAAACTGCAGATACCCCTTCCCACCCAAATTTACTATTTTTCATGTCTTCCTCCAAAACTCAGAATTTACTCTTGCTAATAATTTACCACTTATAAGTTAATCAATTTACACTAACATTAGTCAACTTCCTTTCATAAGTGACTTTATATTTCTTGTAAGTTTAATCGTTTTCAGAACTCAAGATTCTGAATTGTTGGGCTTATTTAGAAAAATTTTATGTATCGACTGTTTCTCACCTTGTCTGTTGAGAAGTTTTCTTCAGTATATATTATTTTTCCATTTAAAAAAGTTAAATTTGTCACGAACTCAAACAGTATCCCATAATTAAACAACATGCTAAGTGGAGAAGAGCGTATCTTTCTACCAAAGCTGACTGTTTGATTGAACAAAATAAGGAGAGGCAGAACCTCCAGGCTCCGGTCCCCACACTCACTCTTTCAGGCTGTCGGATCGTCTCCGGTCCCTCCCCCAGGAAGAGCTTCTGCTCCGTGTCCTCCTCTGGCTGGGGCTCCTGGACCTGCGGTGCTCACTGGGAGAGCAAGGGTGCCGCTCCTTTGACTTCATCTGCCCTGGTGCTGGAACATGAACAGCGAGGCTAGCCACAGAGTCTATTACCCAAAATCCTCGGTCTCAGCCACGCAACTAGTATCACTTCTTAAAGAATTTTACGTGCAAAAGTCTGTCACTGCGTAAACTCATTCTTCTGAATAAGCAAGAGCTAATGTTTAGTCACACTTACTTTTGCGATCACCTTGTGCAAACTGTATTTCAATTTGACGGCCACATACCCACTTTCTATTGAGGTTATAAAGGGCATCTTCAGCATCTCGAACATCTTCAAATATGACTAGCCGTTAAGGACACTTTGAACATCACGTATCAAGCAAAACTATTTGAAAAGTATTCTTTACATGTGAAATGGAAGACATAGGAAACAAGTTCAAGTTATTAAGCTCACATTTCCCACATAATATGAATAATCAGAAAAAAAACCCACTTTTACTTTTTTATTATGAAAACAAATACCCTATTTATGATTTAGAAAAGTCAATCTAAAAATAAAAACAGAAATAAACATGTAACTTACTTTTAATGTATACTGCTTGTGTGGTTGCAATATACAAGTATAATTTGAAATATGAGAAAAAATTAAGTCCAAAATTAGCATTATAAATATAAACTGTTCAGGACTCACTCCCTTCTTTCGGATAAAGGATCCATCAGGTTTTTCACTGAAAATATCAGGATGCAGAAGCCTTTATTCTGAAATTAAAATTACTCTTTCATTAAAAGGCTTTTTAATTATGACATTTAGGAGAAATTACTCATAAACAAAACTGTATACATACAAGTGAACTAAAACAAAACCTCATTTAGCCCTTTAAAAACGATATCTACCTTTGAACCCAGCACTTTAAACATTATTTTATGTTTTTAATACTTGGGATCTAAATATTAAAGAACTACAGAGAAGCAATCTATAAACATTTGGAGTTACATATACTGGTTTGTAATACCCCCACTGAACTCCCTTATCATATAAATTATATAATAGTAAACCTAACTATAATGGATATTAGCTATACAAAATACTTGAATAGCTGTCTTTCAGGAAGTTGTTCATTGGCTTATTTTTAAAAAATAGAAAACAGAAAAAGCTCAAGAAATGCAATACAAAATGAGACTTTGGCAATTACCTCAATTTCACTTGATCTTGAACCTTGACCTTTACTCTTTATGGCTTGCAAGATGGACTTTATAAGAGACGCAGAACCAACAAAATCAGACTTGGCTTTGACTCTGGAACTCTGAGTAAATGTAGGAAAGCCGAAGTCTCAACCTGGTGTTGGCTTTGTCTTTTGCTTGATAAAGACTTCCCCTCTTCCAGGTCTTTATATCTGTGTCCACCCTCCCTCTTTACTCCTTGATGCTTGAACTTTAGGTGCCTTTTGTCTTGCCTGCTTGGTTTATGCTTGGATTCTAGCTAACAGGTTGGTTCAAACTGGGGGGCGCTTGCCAGCTACTGTGGACTGGTTTAGATTTTCTGAGATAAAGAAATAAACACATTTAATTAGGCAATATTAATTTCATAACATATGCTCCTGAACACATTTAAGCACATGTATGCAGTATGTTCACATGCGCACAGTAAAATAAAGGATATTGAACATAAGCAAATCCTCTTGGGCGGCGAGTGTAGAAGTCAAGTGGAATGTAAACGTCTACTATAGGGCCATATCGACCAAACTCACGGCGCAAGTCCTCAGGCCTGAAGTGTTTCAGAAATAAGGCAAAGAAATATGAATAGCTGAATTAAAATATTTTGCCTACAGAAATTCTGTTGAAACCCTCAAAAGAAAGTATAGCATCTAGACCAGCATTATCTGAAACTGCCTAAGAATCACTCAAGGTTTCAAAAGGAAGGGAAAAAAAGAAGGAAAAACTAGACTTTCAGGCATCTCCTGCATATTCTGATTCAGAAAGTCTAGATTAGGGACTGGATATCCATTTTTTAAAAGATTTATTGATTTATTTGAACTGCCGAGTTAGAGAGAGGCAGAGGCAGAGAGGTTGGTTGGTCTTCCATCCACTGGTTCACTCCTCAGATGGCTGCCAGAGCTGTGCCAATCAGGAGCCAGGAGCCTCTCTGGGTCTCCCACATGGGTGCAGGGGCCCAAGGACTTGGGCCATCTTCCGCCGCTTTCCCAGGCCACAGCAGAGAGCTGGATTGGAAGTGAAGCAGCTGGGATTCATACCGGCGCCCAAATGTGATGCCGGCACTGCAAGCGGCAGCTTTATCCACTATGCCACAGTGCCGGCCCCCTATTCATGCTTTTTAAAAAATATGTATTTACTTATTTCAAAGGCAGAATTATAGAAAGAGAGGGAAAAAGCTGGTGCTGTGGCATAGTGGGTAAAGCTGCTGTCTGTGGTTTCGGCATTCCATATGGGTGCCTGTTTGAGTCCTAGCTGCTCCACTTTCTATCCAGCTCTCTGCTATGGCCTGGGAAAGCAGTGGAAAAAGGCCCGAGTCCTTGGGCCCCTGCACCCATGTGGGATACTCGGAAGAAGCTCTTGGTTCCGGATCAGCCCAGCTCTGGCCGTTGTGGCAATTTTGGGGAGTGAACCAGTGGATGGAAGACTTCTCTCTCTCTCTCTGCCTCTCTCACTCTTTGAAATAAACAAATAAATAAATCTTTAAAAAAAAAAATAAGAAAGAGAGGGAGAGACAGAGAGAGAGAAAGAGAGAGATATCTTTCATCCACTGGTCCACTCTCCAAATGGCAAGGGCACTATGCCAGTCCCAAAAATTAAAAAAAATTAAAAGATTTATTTATTGAAAGTCAGAGTTACAGGGAGAGACAGAGAGGTCCTCCATCCACTGGTTCACTTCCCAAGAGTCCTCAATGGGAAGGGAGGAGCCAGGCTGAAGCCAGGGCCCAGGAGCTCCACCCAGGTCTCCCACGCTTGGGCCATCTTCCACTGCTTTCCCCAGGTCACCAGCAGGGAGCTGGATTGGACATGGAGCAGCTAGGACACGAACTGGCACCCATATGGGATGCTGGTATCGCAGGCTGCAGCTTTACTCTCTACGCTACAATGCCTGCCCCATAAACAAATACTTTTTAAAAGTATGAATAGAGTCTGGCATTGTGATGCAGCAGGTTAAGCAGTCGCCTGCAATGCCAGCATCCTATATGAGTGCCAGTTCAAGTTTCAGCTGCTGCTCTACTTCCAGTGTGGCTCCCTGCTACTATGCATGGAAAAACCATGGAAGATGGCCTGAATACTTGGTCCCCAGTCATCCATGTGGAAGACACTGATGGAGGTCCAGGATTCTGGCTTCAGCCTGGCTGTTGTGGCCATCTGGGAAGTGAACCAGTGAATGGAAGGTCTCTGTTTTCTTTGCTGTAACTGTGCCTTTTGAATAAATGAATATTTGAAAAACAGGCCGGCGCTGCGGCTCACTAGGCTAATCCTCCGCCTGCGGCGCCGGCACCCCGGGTTCTAGTCCCCGTCAGGGTGCTGAAGTCTGTCCTGGTTTCTCTTCTTCCAGTCCAGCTCTCTGCTGTGGCCCAGGAAGCCAGTGGAGCACAGCCCAAGCCTTTGGGCCCTGCACCCGCATTGGAGACCAGGAGGAAGCACCTGGCTCCTGGCTTCGGATCAGTGCAACACACCGGCCATAGAGGCCATTTGGGGGGTGAACCAACAGAAGGAAGACCTTTCTCTCTCTCTCTCTCTTACTCTGCCTGTCAAAAAAAAAAGAAAAAAAAAAGAAAAAAAAAGAAAAAAAAAAGAAAAACATTTTATTTGAAAGGCAGAGACAGACAGCAAGACAGAGATCTTTGGCTGGTTCACTCTACAAATGCTTACAATAGCTGGGCTGGGCAGGCCAAAGCCAAGAGCCTGGAACTCAATCTGGGTCTCCCATGTGGGAGCCAGGGTCCCAGGTACTTGAGCCATCACCTGCTGCCTCCCAGGGTGCACATTAGCAGGAAGCTGAACTGGAAGCAGAGTAGTCAGTACTCAACCAAGCGCTCCAATATTGGATGCAAGTATCCTAAGCGGCAACTTAACTGCTATGCCAAAGCCCACCCGAAGGATATTCATATTTTTAAAAAGCGCAATAAAGGTGGAGACATTTCAAGACACTGGCCTGGTAGATAGACTTTAAAAGTTATTCGCATTAAATATTTAATAATTCACTGTTTCCTTAAAACACACTCATTTGCCTCACTGTAAGTTTATATTTATGTTAATTTTATTTTCAGATAGAAATAACTAGATTCTAAAGAAGTCCTAAGATTATTTCTTAGGCTTCAACAAAAAAACCTAATGCAAAATAACTAACATATTCTCAAATTTGATAGTATTTTTTTTTTTTTTGACAGGCAGAGTGGACAGTGAGAGAGAGAGACAGAGAGAAAGGTCTTCCTTTGCTGTTGGTTCACCCTCCATTGGCTGCCGCGGCCGGCACGTTGCAGCCAGCGCACCACGCTGATCCGATGGCAGGAGCCAGGTACTTATCCTGATCTCCCATGGGGTGCAGGGCCCAAGCACTTGGGCCATCCTCCACTGTACTCCCTGGCCACAGCAGAGAGCTGGCCTGGAAGAGGGGCAACCGGGACAGAATCCGGCGCCTGGACTGGGACTAGAACCTGGTGTGCTGGCGCCGCAAGGCGGAGGATTAGCCTAATGAGCCGTGGCGCCGGCCAAATTTGATAGTATTTTGAGCCTCCTAAATGCTTTCTATTGTGATAAGTACTGAATATTATTATTGTCTTCACGGTGCTACAATTTCAATGATGAGATTAAATATTTAGCAGTAACAGCTGACAGCTGTAATGCATTTACATATCATCCACTGTTCATCTTCAGACCACTGACTCTCACAGCAACCTTACAGTTGTTTATAAGATGGGGACCCAGACAGACTGAGCTTCCTAAGGTTCAGGAGCCAGCAAGGGAGAGCTGGAGTCACACTTCCACAGGCCTGGGTTCTCCACCACCATCCCTCTTCAAGGAGAGGGAGGGATTCAGCATCAATCTGAGTGCAAAACGTGGTTCAGGAGAAATAAGAGTACTTCAAAACGTATTGTGCAAGCGACTCAAAGATGACTGCAAAGCTGCTAGTCTGGACAAGCATTAGTGACAAAAATTTGATGCTAGTGAACAAAGCTGGATGAAGAGGGGGAAGAAAGGCTGAGCCCTCAGGTTTAGATACAGAATTTGAGGTGATGGTGGAACATCTGTAAGAGTTCTACAAACAACTGAAAATTGTGATTATGCAAATATTTTGTTTTCTCTGAAAACTAGGGGTATTTAAGGCTAGAGATGGAGACTCAGGAGTCAGCATCCACTGTAGGCCAGGCAGTGCCGTCGTTATCATGACCTACTTCATTTCGTTTATCTGCCTTCCCTCATAGACTGTTAACTTTTAGATGGCAACAATCTCTCTTTTCTTTCATTTATCCATTCAGAAAATATTTATTGAGCATCTACTGTGCAAAGCTCTACAGATATGATGAGAAAACAAGAAAAACAAATTTCTTCTGCTAGCTTCTCAAACATGGCTGCATTTTAGAATCACCTGTGAAGGTGATGTTACAGAAACAGGCAACCCTGTTAACTTTGGACCTAATTGATGTTTCCCATAGTAAGTTCCAGTTACATTTAATTTTTGAAAAAGTTTTTATTTTATTCTTTAAATATTTATCTATTTATTATTTGAATGGCAAAGTTACACAGATAGATAGATAGGTCCTCCATTTGCTCGTTCACTCACCAAAATGACTGTTTTGGCCCGCCCTGGGTCAGACCAAAGCCAGGAGCCTGGAACTCCACCTGGGACTCCCACATGGGTGGCAGGGGCCCAGGCACTTGGGCCATCTTCCTCTGCTTTCCCAGGCTCATTAACAAAAAGTTGGATTGAAACTGCAGCAGCCAGGCTACTGGGCATACTGGTGTCACATAGGTGGCAGTTTAACCCACTGTGCCACAACACCAGCCCCAAAAGTGTTATTTATGAGAGAGGCAGAGAGACAAAGCTCCCATCTGCTAGGTCACTTCCCAAATGCCCAAAATGGCTAGAACTGGGCTGGGCCAAAGTCCAGACCCAGGGACTCAATCTAGGTCCCACAGGGGTGGCAGGAACCTCATTATTTGAGCCACTATTGCTGCCTCCCAGGAACTGCACTAGCAGGAGCTGGAGTGAGGAGTTGGGAATCAAAGCCAGCATTCTGATGTGGGATATAGGCATCTTAACTGCTAGGGTAAATGCCCGTTCCTACGTTGAATTTTTTAAGTGCTTCATAAGAAATTCTGAGATTGAGAATTATTGCTAAGGCAGTATAGCATATCTTTGTACTTAGCATAGCCACACAGGAAGCACTCAATATATATAGACTTGCCTGTTAATAAGAGAAGAACACATTACTGGTACCACTTGAGAATCAAGGAGACTAAGGATAAGAGAAGTTACCTTCTACACTGGTATTCACAACCTGTAACAAAGTGAGGTAGCAAAGCTAGAACACAAATAAA